ATCCCAGCAGAAATCCTGTGTTACCCTCCCCCAGGAGATGCTGCTCCTGGTGGGACTGACCTTGGCACTGAACTGGTTCAGCTCCCCACTCTCGTGCCCTGCAATGATGAACTCTCCCAGTGGGCCCCACACAGCACTGGTGATTTTGGAGTCACTGCAGGGGATCTTCATGTAAGGCTCGTTGTTCTCTGCAGGAAGGAAGGAGACAGACAGACAGACAGGGTGGCACCAGGGATCAACCCTTCCCCTCACTCCCTGGGGCAGGCACTGGGTTCCTCACCAATCTGGCTGGGGTCCCGGAGGTCGAAGAAGCTGACAAAGCACTGATATCCCATCTGCTTGTCCGTGGAAAACATGATGATGTTCCCTCCAAAGTCAAAGCCACACGTCCTCACTGCTGAGCTGGTCTTCACCAGGGCAAGCTGCTTCCCTGCACCCAGAGCAGAGCCCTCAGTCCCCTCCCAGGGCTGTCCCTGCCAGGTGACAGCAGCAGGAAGGTGGGGTGGGGAGGGGCTGCAGTGACAGGAGGGGGGACAATGGTTTGAAACTAGAGCAGGGCAGGTTCAGGTTGGACATTAGGAAGAAACTCTTCCCTGTGAGGGTGGTGAGAGCCTGGCCCAGGTTGCCCAGGGAAGCTGTGGCTGCCCCATCCCTGGCAGTGTTGAAGGGCAGGTTGGATGCGGCTTGGAGCAGCCTGGGCTGGTGGGAGGTGTCCCTGCCCATGCTTGGAACTAGATGATCTTTAGGGTCCCTTCCAACCCAACCCATTCCATGATTCTATGACCCAGATCCCTGCAGAGGCTGGGGACAAGCAGGGGTGATGCTGCCACCACACCCCCCAGGTGAGCAGGGCTCAGGGCAGGGAAGGAGCCTCTCTCACCTGTCTCACAGTCCCAGAGCCGGCAGCTGTTGTCAGCAGAGCCCGTCAGCACGTGTCGTGTGTCCCCTGGGCAGCAGTTAGGGAACATCAGCCCACTCTGAGCACCAAAAGCTTTCTAAATTCCCAGAAAATACTTCTACATGAGATTCTAGAAACATATTGCACAGGGATGGGATAAGTTCTGTGCCAGGAGCAGGGGCATTCAGTGGGCACAAGCTGGAGCACAGGAGGTTCAAGCTCAACACAAGGAAAACATGATGTACTGGGAGGGGCACCGAGCCCTGGGCCAGGCTGCCCAGACACTGTGGGGTCTCCTGCTCTGGAGACATTCCATACCCATCTGGATGTGTTCCTGTGGGATCTAGTGTAGCTGATGCTGCTCTAGCAGGGGGTTGGATTAGATGGTCTCCAGAGGTGCCTTCCAACCCCTGAGCACTCCATGACCAGCAAAACTTCAGTACAGACATGGAATCCAAGTGCTCCCTTTACAAAGCCCACATCTTTCCTCTTAAAATATTAAAGAAGAAGGTTCCAGCTCCTGCATCAACACAACCTGTGCACACTTCTGTCTCTGCTCCCTGCTGCTCCCTTTGAGAGGGAGAACCTTGCATAACTGAGACACCTCCCAGAGCCACCTCAGCAAAAGAACAAAGCACAGAGAGCAAAGGACATGTTATCCTAAACAATAAACCGGGAAGAAAAACACTCAGAAGGCTCCCTAAAACACAGTCTGGCCCTCGTGCTCCTCTCCAAGAGGAGCCAGGGCAGCAGCTGGGAGGAATCAGCTCGAATGAATCACTGTAAAGACAGAACACGGGCCAGACAAACTGGTTCCCACGATGCAAGGATACAATCTGCATCCACACACCAGACGGCTCCCGTGTGGCCATTGTAGGTGCCCAGCCTCTCCCCGTTCACCGAATACCAAACGTTGACAATCTGGGAGAAGAAGCAACCCAACCCATTCCATTATCATATGACCCAGATCCCTGCAGAGGCTGGGGACAAGCAGGGGTGATGCTGCCACCACACCCCCCAGGTGAGCAGGGCTCAGGGCAGGGAAGGAGCCTCTCTCACCTGTCTCACAGTCCCAGAGCCGGCAGCTGTTGTCAGCAGAGCCCGTCAGCACGTGTCGTGTGTCCCCTGGGCAGCAGTTAGGGAACATCAGCCCACTCTGAGCACCAAAAGCTTTCTAAATTCCCAGAAAATACTTCTACATGAGATTCTAGAAACATATTGCACAGGGATGGGATAAGTTCTGTGCCAGGAGCAGGGGCATTCAGTGGGCACAAGCTGGAGCACAGGAGGTTCAAGCTCAACACAAGGAAAACATGATGTACTGGGAGGGGCACCGAGCCCTGGGCCAGGCTGCCCAGACACTGTGGGGTCTCCTGCTCTGGAGACATTCCATACCCATCTGGATGTGTTCCTGTGGGATCTAGTGTAGCTGATGCTGCTCTAGCAGGGGGTTGGATTAGATGGTCTCCAGAGGTGCCTTCCAACCCCTGAGCACTCCATGACCAGCAAAACTTCAGTACAGACATGGAATCCAAGTGCTCCCTTTACAAAGCCCACATCTTTCCTCTTAAAATATTAAAGAAGAAGGTTCCAGCTCCTGCATCAACACAACCTGTGCACACTTCTGTCTCTGCTCCCTGCTGCTCCCTTTGAGAGGGAGAACCTTGCATAACTGAGACACCTCCCAGAGCCACCTCAGCAAAAGAACAAAGCACAGAGAGCAAAGGACATGTTATCCTAAACAATAAACCGGGAAGAAAAACACTCAGAAGGCTCCCTAAAACACAGTCTGGCCCTCGTGCTCCTCTCCAAGAGGAGCCAGGGCAGCAGCTGGGAGGAATCAGCTCGAATGAATCACTGTAAAGACAGAACACGGGCCAGACAAACTGGTTCCCACGATGCAAGGATACAATCTGCATCCACACACCAGACGGCTCCCGTGTGGCCATTGTAGGTGCCCAGCCTCTCCCCGTTCACCGAATACCAAACGTTGACAATCTGGGAGAAGAAAACAACCCGTTCTGACCGGCCTGACCACCATTTCTCACGGCCGAAGCGGTTTTTCCACCCGGGAACAAACTTTGGGGGGTGGGAGGGTTTGGAAGGGAGGCGGGCAGGAACTCACAGGATCCTTGGCCACGGTGAAAAGCAGGTCTCCTTCCCGGTTGTACTTGATCTGCGTGATGGAGCGCTCATGGCCCTGCAGCAGGATCGGCTTCTGCGAGGGGGGGAGACGCCATTTAATGCCTGACGGGGGGAGCGGCCTCAGCCCCCGGGCCGGGGCTCCTGGGGCGCCGCGAGGGGGCAATTCTGCTCCCAATTCTGTTCCCAATTCCGTCCCCAATTCTGCTCCCAATTCCGTCCCCAATTCTGTTCCCAATTCTGCCGCCCCCGGCGTCCCAGGAGCCCCATCGCGGGGGTTCTGGGCTTCCCGGCCCCGCTCTCACCATGGCGGCCGCGCTGAGGGGAGGGAGAAGCCCCCGCACTTCCGGTCCTAGGGGCTGCGCGGGGCGGAAATGACGGCGCCGTTGGAACTGCAATCACAAAAAAAAAAAGGGGGAGTCTTCATGCTGTAGGCTAAGAAGGTGCCCCTCACCAGGGGGTGACAGGGATGCTCTGCAGGAAGCACTGCCAGAGGAAGGAACTGCACCAGTTCTCCTCCTGCTCAGAGACAGAGCTCAGCTGTGCCAGGATGGGTGGTGGGATGAACCCCAAGTGACCATGGGACAGTCACAGCAGCCCTGCTCCTAACAGACAGGAGCACAAGGATGTCCTGCAGCCCCACTGGCCTCTTACCTGCCTCTGATAGTCCCTCTCCTTGATGAACCTGTCCACCACTTTCTCCACCTGCCTGTCACACTCCACCTGCAGGTGCTTGATGAGGGTGTAGAGCCTCCCTGGCCCATAGTAGGTCTCCACAATGGGCTGGTGGGTCTCCACAACACGAGCAATCCCTGCAGGGAAGCATAAGACATTCAAGCAGGAGCTCCCATCCAGGCTGGACCCAGTAGAGCTATACAAGTTGGCAGACAGGACCTAGCAAGGGATTATCCATTCCCCGGATAACCAGTTCAGACTGTCCATCTTCTCTGCAGTGCCTCACAGGAGGCCTGTCATCACCACCCTCCTCACATGGCATCTGCTCTCTGCAGATCATCAAACCCAACTGGTTTGGGTTGGAAGGGACCTTCAAGATCACCTAGATCCAACCCCCTGCATGGGCAGGGACACCTCCCACCAGCCCAGGCTGCTCCAAGCCCCATCCAACCTGCCCTTCAACACCCCCAGGGATGGGGCAGCCACAGCTTCCCTGGGCAACCTGGGCCAGGCTCTCACCACCCTCACACTCCACAATTCCCTCCTCATGTCTCACTTCAATCTCCCTCTTCCAGTTTTCATCCCTTCTCCCTTGTCCTCTCCCTCCCTGCCCTTGTCCAAAGTCCCTCCCCAGCTTTCCTGGAGCCCCTTCAGGCACTGGAAGGTGCTCTAAAGTCTCCCTGGAGCCTTCTCTTCTCCAGGCTGAACACCCCAACTCTCCCAGCCTGTCTTCATCACAGAATACTTCCATTTAAACTGTTAAGTATCTCATCCATCCTCACACTTCTTTACCTTCAGTCATATTTAATTCACTTGCCTCTAACACTGCTCTTCCCATGCTGAACAGAGACTGCGTCCCTAGACAGCAAGTCATTAACCCTCATATTTCACATGAAATAAGCCCAGCCTCCTCCTGCAGGCCATGGAGCTGAGGGGCTGAGCAGCTCCTGGTGGCAGCAGGATCTCCCATGGTCACAGCTCTGCTGCCAGACACAGCCCAGGGTGGGGGAAGTGGGGCTGGGCTCCTTGCCCAGGGGTGCAGCTAACAGGCCTGTGCTCCTCCTGCAGTACATGGTGCCATTTCTGCTCAATCAAGGTGGATCCCTCCTCTTCTACCTCACCTTGGCCTCCACAGGTCAGTGCTCCTTGCTCTGGTGGAGGGGGTTGATCAGCATTTGGGGAGGAGCAGTGTTGTTCATGACCTGGTGATGCTGCTCAACATCAAGCCTGGTAATAACCACCAATAAAACAACCACCTTTGTACAAGATCATCCCTTCTAAACTGTGTCCAAACCCTTCCATTGCAGACCTGTCCCTGGCTGTGCCTCTCTGCAACTCCCTGGCTTTGATCATCACTGTGGTGACCGGGAGGCTTCTGGGGGAAGACATTGGTGGTAAAAGTGAGTGACACATCAAACCTTCCCTGACATTGTCTCCTTTGCCTGGTTCCTGGCTTAACAGTGGGGGGGCCCTTGGGTGTCCTGAAGAGAGCAAACACCCACAGAATGGGTTTAAGTATCATAGAACCATGGAATGGTTTGGGTTGGAAGGGACTTTAAAGACCATCTAGATCCAACCCCCTGCATGGGCAGGGACACCTCCCACCAGCCCAGGTTGCTCCAAGCCCCATCCAACCTGCCCTTCAGCACTTCCAGGGATGGGGCAGCCACAGCTTCCCTGGGCAACCTGGGCCAGGCTCTCACCACCCTCACACTCCAGAATTCCCTCCTCATGTCCAACCTCAATCTCCCCTCTCCCAGTTTTAATCCATCCCCCCTTGTCCTCTCCCTCCTGCCCTTCTCCCAAGTCCCTCCCCAGCTTTCCTGAAGTTCAGCAGAAGCTGAAAAGGACTGAAAGAAACTTATAAGTGGGCAGGGCTACTACATTTAAAGATAGACCTGGCAATTCTAAGGTAACAGAGTTTACAGGCCTGAGCCTTTACCCAACCAGCTACTGACCTGCCAGAGCAGCATTCCATGGATCACCCACCATGGAAAAGAAACACCCACTGATTCCAGCGCCCGTCCCTCTTCCCTGTGTCCTACCTTGTCCTGCTCAGAAAATGGTGGGGAACTTGAAAGCTCAAAACCACCCCAGGACCTGGGGCAGTGGCAGGAGGAATACATGAAAGTGGGTGGGGTTTTTTTTGCTGTTTAAGCCTGGTTCTTTCCAGCCATTCCTGATCAGCACCATTTCCTTGGAAACTTGTTTTTCCCATCATGGACACTCCAAACATCCAGACCTTGCTCCAGCTCCTGCCTGCCCAGACTTTGATGCTCTCCTGTTCACCATCACATCTCAGCAGCTTTTCTTTAGCCACGAGAAGTTCTGACCCACTGGTGTTTTATTATGGAATTTCCCAATCCATTTTGGTTCCTTTCCACAGGGGCAGAGCCAGGGATG